AAACTCTCCAGCTATGGAATCTCTGGAAGTGTCTTTGCAATTATCAAGTCCTTCTCATCAGGAAGCTCTTTGAAAGTCGTTGTCAATGATCAGGCTTCTTCTGAAGCCCATAAGATCAATGCAGTTGTTCCACAAGGTTTATTTCTCGGTCCTAACCGCTTTCAGGTTCATATTAACGACCTGACTAGGATCATTCTTAAATTGTTATAAATGTATTTGCATGTGACTTAATCGTTTATGAGTGCAGTTCCAAAACTCTAGATGATCAGAGCCTGGCAGCTGATCTCTCGTCTGATCTGACACAGCTCTAACAGAGGAAAAAACTGGCTTGTAACTTTCAATAACTCAAAAACCAAGCTCGTAACTTTTTGTCACCATCGGGATGGCTTGGGACTCTCACGAGCCTCCGATGAAGGATTACACCCTCAGAGAGGCTCCTTGCTTCGAACGCCTGTTGGGGCTCAAGTTTGCCCCTGACTCTAAATGGCTTCATCGATACGACCCATCGCCAAGAAAGCTGTAACAATGTACGGCTCCTTATACCGTCTCAGTAAGTACGACTCCACTTGCTATGCTCTATATTTAAAAGTGTCAGATCAGGCCCAAAATGAAATATTGCTGCCATATCTAGTCTGAAACTATCCAACCTTTTTTTCCAGCCTCGACAGAGTTCAAAAGCGTTCACGCCACCTTGTACGCAATCTAAAGTATTTTTTACCATAAAACGCTATTTTTTTTTCAAAATCATTTCATCCCAAGCAAGGTAATAAAGTCACTTAAACATTTTTTATCGCCAGAATCTATCTTACATATTTATGAGTCTTACCATTCAACCTTGCTTTGAATATTGCCTTCCATATCTGATCTAGTGCCCCTGCTATATATTTAGAAATTCTTGATAGAATCCAAAGAATCTGCAATGTTATTGGTCCTGACTTGGCATCTCGGCTTCAGCTCCGTTCCAAACGGCGTAACATAGGTTCCCTGTACCTTTTCTGTAAATATATTCCCATGGTAAATGTGTGGGCAATTGTTATGGGATCTTACCCATAATAATAATAATGGACTATTCCATACTTAATAAATACTGCGCCTCGGGAGTAGGCAAGAGTCATTCGCTCACTTTCTGAGCGACTGTTCGGTTCAACTCTCTGTCTACGGGCGGAGAGGAACCCGAAGGAGGCTACGCCGAAGGGCGGAGTCTCCTTGGGGGAGGTAAAACCGGCCCAGAACCCGTTTATACGGGTTCAAATCGGGAGTTTTTGGCCGAGCCTAATGGCTCGGGAATGCCCACGTTAAAAGGCCTTGTGCCACATGACACCCTCGTGGGGGGTGACTGAATATCGTCATTCGCTCACTTTCTGAGCGACTGTTCGGTTCAACTCTGTCTATAGGCGAGAGAGGAACCCGAAGGAGGCTACGCCGAAGGGCGGAGTCTCTTGGGGGAGGTAAAACCGGCCCTGGAACCCGTTTATACGGGTTCAAATGGGCTATTTTGGCCGAGCCTAATGGCTCGGAAATGCCCACGTTAAAAAAGCCTTGTGCCACATGACACCCTCGTTGGGGGGGGTGACTGAATATCGTCAGTCGTTCGATTCTTGAATGACAGATCGGTTGAACTCTCTGCCTTCGGGCGGGGAGGAACCCGAACGAGGCTACGCCGAACCGGCCCTGAGCCAGTTTATACGGGTTCAATGGGCATATTTTGGGGCCGAGCTCACGGGCTCAGAGAACCCACAATAAATAACCGACCTTGTGTCACATGCTGCCCCGGTGGGGGCGGGGGGTGACTGAATATCGTCAGTCGTTCGAGTCAGTAGTTAAAGTCGAGTCAAGAGTCGAGTCAAAGGCAATCCGAAACAGAGTCGCGTTCAAACAATTACTGCAAGACATTGGAATAGTGATACTGGTCGAGACTACATTGTTCTCTCTACTAAATCTGATTGTTCGTACTAACACTTCTACTTCTCTGTATATATTCCTGTTTGTAATATATCTGTGTTATTCCATATCCGTGTTCGAGTTCTTCTTTATTGGTTCTACCTTGGACTATCACCGTGGTACAAGGAACCCGACCATAACAGTAATTTAGTTCGCCCGTCGTTTGCGATGACTGAAATAGATTAAAGTGCTTGCTTTCGTCCAGCCCTCCGGTCTACCGAGTTGTTGCTAGTGACCTCCTATTCTCTCGTTCTCGTTAGTACGTACGCCGTCACGCCAACAATGCGTTCTTTTCTGTCCCGTCTTCCTCACAGAGTCGCTACTTATGCCCACGTCGGTGGGGGGGGGGCGCAACTAACATTTGCATACGAGACTTACTTCTCGTTCGCCTGAGACTTCCGATCTTATAAATTTACGCTGGCTTGAATTTTAGTCTTTTTTTTTATTTTTATTTTTATTTTTCGTTTTTTAACGCCGGTCGCGATTTTTCAACAAGACCTGACACGCCATGCAAATTCGCTTTGCGGGGAAGGCGGTTAAGTCTTCTCGATCCTCACAAAATGTTCTGATGAACTTTCCGTAATGGTACTTAGACTTCATGAATTTAAGCGCAGTACTAGACTGAAAGGCTTGGCGGCAAGGTCTCATCATTTTGCTGTTGAAATGGCTAGATGCAACCGTAAGTTCTATGCTAGCAGTTTCTTCTATCAAACTTCTCGCTTGTGGAACTCTCTTCCTCTTCATTCTCTTTGCATTGCATTGATAATGTTATAGAATGCGGAGGCCACGGCCAAAAGGATCAGCAACTGGGCAACTTTTCTCGCACAGGCGGGATGTGGCGGGCCTCTCACTGCTCTATCCCTACTTCCATTGAAAGTGCTCGGATGAACTACATTCTTTGGATCCGTCAGGTTTAAACTTCACGGCTAGGACCCGCCATGCCCCTTACATAGTATCAAGCCAATTTAATTCCCACATTATGCATCGGTGTGAAGTTCCACTCGATACAGCTTCTTTCCGCGAACGACTGCTCTGTGTAACAGACTTCCATGTTAAAAAAATAATGTTTTGTGGTGTGGAGAGCCATGATCACCTCCTGTCTTGAAAGGACACGGCACATAAAAAGAAAAGAAGTGCCAAAAAATGTGCGTAAGTAAGTGTGTCTGTGTGTGTGTGTGTGTGTGTGTGTGTGTGTGTGTGTGTGTGTGTGTGTGTGTGTGTGTGTGTGTGTGTGTGTGTGTGTGTGTGTGTGTGTGTGTGTGTGTGTGTGTGTGTGTGTGTGTGTGTGTGTGTGTGTGTGTGATTTTGTGGAAATTAATGCGTTTGAGAGTGTGTGAGTTTTAATTACGAGTACGGGTATAAATGGCTACAAATGTGCATGCGTGAGAGAGAGGAGAGAGAGAGTGAGTAAGTGTGTGCATTATGTGTGAGTCTTAATTAGTGTGTAAATGTGAATGAATTAAGGAGTGTGAGTTCATGTGACTTAGCGTGTTTGTGTGTGTGTGTGTGTGTGTGTGTGAACTGAGTTGTTAATGTGTAGTTGTGTGTACGTGAATGTGTGCGTTCGCAAGTGTGAGAATGTGAGTCAGTGTCTTTTGGGGGGATTTAACTTTGCGTGCAAATGTGTGTGTTTGTGTGTGTGTGTGTAAGAGACAGAGAGAGAGGGGGAGAAGGCGTGCGTCAATGTGTGTGCGTAAATGTGTGTGTATGTGTGTTTTACAAAGAAAGGAGATCTATAATAATGTCTTCGCTGCCTTAAAAACAAGACTGATTTTTTTTTCTCGTCGCCCGAATTTCTAACGCCAGCTTCATTTTATTATATATATATATATATATATATATATATATATATATATATATATATTGATACTTTTCTTTTTACTATCTTTCCTCGCGGATTGCTGTATAGTCTTACTCACCGATTTTATCCTTCCATCCTTCCATACATTCGTTTTCGATTTTTTTCCCTCCATTTGTCTTCTACCGAACCAGCCATTTGTCAACCGACATGTTTTCTTTTCTTTTTCTTTTTTTTTTTTTTTTTTTTTTTTTTTTTGTCGCCGTGCAAACCAATAACTAAAAATTCTCTTTCGGATAATTTGCCGAAAGTAAAAGACCTTGTGGACTAAATTTGCGTTGGAATCAGACAAAATCCTTTCCGTTTTCTTCCTCCAATGACCAATTCCTGTTTTTTCTATGACCGTGTCTGGCATCGATTCCTGTCTGTAAATAAGTGAACATATTTAAAAAAAAAAAAAAAAAAAAAAATGGAAAACGCCAAAAGAAATGGAATAAATGTAAGGTGTAGCAAAATCAAGGTACGTATCGACTGGGAAAAGTAAACAGATGGCAGGACGCGTAGATATTAAATTGGCTAAAAGTGGAGGCAGCAGAAATGTAGTTTTACAAAAGGATACAGAAAATTCTATGGACAAAACAAGTAAGCAACGAGCGGGTCTTAAAGGAAATGGCAAAGCTGGTGAAGAAAACCAGGAAAAGATAGCGGAAATTTCATGGACACAAAATGAGGAAGAAGGGCTTGGAAAACTTAACCCTCACAGGGCATATTGAGGAGAAGCGAGATAGGTGCAACGCAGCGAGGTACTTATCTGACGAGGTCGTGTGAATTGACGAAGAGAAAGTTCTGGGGTGTCATGATCGCTCATGTCCTGAAGAGACATGACAAATAGACGAAGAAGTTTTAGATAGATAGATAGATAGATAGATAGATAGATAGATAGATAGATAGATAGATAGATAGAATCAGCCTTAGGATAGATAGATAGATAGATAGATAGATAGATAGATAGATAGATAGATAGATAGATAGATAGATGATAGATAGATAGATAGATAGATAGATAGATAGATAGATAGATAGATAGATAAAGAACAGAATTATACAAGATAGATAGATAGATAGATAGATAGATAGATAGATAGATAGATAGATAGAATCAGCCTTAGGATAGATAGATAAATTTAAATTGTAGCGTTCCATAAAAATTCCAGGGTTTAGCCAGCAAAATCTTAACGACAATATTCATATCTATCTATCTATGCCCGGGCTGATAATATCTATCTATCTATATCATTCATTCATCTATTCATCTATCTATCTATCTATCTATCTACCCATGTCCTTTGTACATACATGTGAAACTATATATTACTAAGTTTATAAAAAAAAATTAATAAATAATAATAAAATTTACTACTTCAGAGAAACGAATTAGCTATTTTTGCCGTAATTGTCATAAATTTTACTTAAATAATATTTAAATATAAAATTTTAAAAATCGTACTATACATACTTATACTTGATATGGAAAAATAATTTTACTTACTGTAAGTCATTCTAATACATTTACTTCTTTTAAAAAGAAATATAGTCTATTAAAACTAAGAGTGAAAATATTTTAAAGTTCTATTTAAAATTGTAGTTAAATAAAACGAATTCTAACCTAAACATCTTTTAAAATTGTAATTAAATAAAACGTATTCTAACCTAAAGACCTCCCTCTAAGTACTACAAGCGCTTAAAAGAATACAATAAAACACCTACAGTAAAATGAAATTAATATGAAAAGCTAGAAGATGTAAGCAATTGAATGACCCATGTCCTTTGTACTTACATGAGAAATAATATATTACTAGGTTTATATAAAAAATAAAAGTTTACTAAATCAGTGAAATTAATTAGCTATTTTTGCCGTCATTGTTATAAATTTTACTTAAATAATATTTAAATATAATTTTTTAAAATTGTTATCTAATAATATACATACTTATACTTGATATGAAAATAATTCTACATACTGTAAGGGATTCTAATACATTTACTTGTTCTTAAAAGAAATATAGTATATTAAAAATTAAAAGTGAAAATATTTTTCAAATCGTAGTTAAATAAAATGTATTCTAACTTAAACACCCCCAAAAATCTTTAAATATACAAATAGAAAAAAATGCCGTAAGAAATTTTGCCGTTAACAATAAAATTTTTAAAAATCCAGACGACATGCATTTAACAGATGTTAGATTTCATTGAAAAATACATCCCTACCCCCTACCAAAACGTAACTAATAACGGATACATCAAAATACAGCGATAATGAACACGCAAACACCCCTTGTCTGGTTGAATTGGATTTCTCTGTATCCTTGGAAACGTGAATTATGATTTTAGCTGTGTATTTAAAACCCAGTAATTTTAAAAGTTACTCCAAAATTCGCTTGAGGATGAAATGGAACTAATGTCTTTAATTTAATTGCAAAATTAAATTCGTGGCTTTTAGCTTCCATTTTGAAACATGGTTAGAACTGTGTAAAAAAAAAACATATTTTTAAATCAATTAATTTTTAATATATATATATATATATATATATATATATATATATATATATATAAAGTTCATTAAAGAACTTTAAAAACATATTACCTTTTTGTATTTGCGATAGAAATAATCTGTAAAAAATGTTATAAAGTTTAATGTACCTAGTTTTAAGTATAGCTAAAATAACTAATGTGATTTCAGGCATTACTGTAAATCAGTTGGCAAATGTTTTCCGTGAACTGCAAAATCGTATTACCTTTTGTATTGCTAATGATGGAGGACATTTGGAAACTTCAATAAAATTTCAATAAAACCTTAAAAAATATAGATTTACTTCTTTTCTAATCCTTTTACAAATTATTTCTATTGCAAATACAAGTAAAGTTATAAATTTTTTAAAGTGCACAAGAACTTTATGGACACTCAGTATTTATATATATATATATATATATATATACACACACACACACACATATATATATATATATATATATATATATACACATACACAACAGACCCACAAATGTCTTGGCAGTCTCTCGCACACCACAGATAGAGTGTAAGGTCCAGGTATCAGAAGAGCTGTCCAAGAATAACTGACGAAATACTGAAGGGAGAAAACAAGTAATATAGATTCAAGCGTCATATTTTCATTTAATCAGCACCTCCAATTCAATATGCCCTATTTGAAAAATCTTTTACGGTAGAAAATCTAATATGTAATTACAAAAAAAAAGGGGGACTGACATTTAATATGGAAGAACTTAAGGATAAAAAATAATGGGTGTTTACCGGTTGTCGCTCCTCACTCGTCAGAACTCGATCGAGGAATAAAATAGCAAATGTACAAACTAAAAAGACAAAGGAAAGCTAATGCACCATTATTCGTAATAATTGAGCATTATTCTTTGTGTCACAACGGCTGTTGTGATGCGTCTAGTGTGGTAGTCTGTAGTGGTAGTGCTTGTCGCTTCTCGCTTTCAGCTACCGCCGCTGGCTAGAAGCAATGCGAAAAGTGGAGCCGAGTGTGTAAGTCTTCCCCTGCCAGTATATAGCCTCTCCATCAGCAAGCCCTATGTAGTGCCTCCTCGTGGCGACACATGGTAACCGAGCACCTTGCGGACTTGGGGAGGAGGAGTTTGGTCCCCTTAACATACGGCATGCAGGCCCACCGGTGTGTTGACACGCCCTGGTGTCCACGAACCAAACCCCAGCTATGGATTAAATAGCTCCACTGCCTTGTGAAAATCTTTGGGAGAAGAAAAGGCTAAGGAGTATATCCTACAGAAACCCGGAGTAGATCCCCTAAGGCAGATGGACGGCACTTTGACAAAAACCTTCCGGCAACTCCTGCAGGCGCGCTGGTACCAAACTGTATTGGTTTATCCTCTCCTTTGGACTCTGCTAGCAAGGCCGAGAGGGGGGGAACTAGATGTCCGGGCAGCCCTAGTTCTCCATACATCTCCGCCCAGGCTCGTATCGCACTGAGCGCGACTCCATCGTCTCCCGAGACAGACGGATGCCGAACGAACTACGGCATACATACCGGGTAGGAGGGTGACTAGTTCGAAGGATATGGTGGAAATAAGGTCTTCAGTTAATTCTCTGCTGCGGTGTCTGGTTATAATGCTCACAGACCTCCCCATTTTCTCTCCCGGCTAAACGCGTCTTCAAATACCATTTAATAAAGCTCTAGAATCTTGAAAGAATTCAAAATGGACCCCATCTGCTGATGACGTCATTTCCGTCTTCATTTTTTAAACAATCAAAGAACGTGACCAGTATGCTAAGCTATTGGTGTAGACAATGTCTTTCACAAATGGCTACTTAACAACTTCGAATCTTTTGGGGTTTTTTTTTAAACACGTCTTTAGTTATTTTTGTCTTCTTTTTTTTTTTCGTTTCTCTTTTATATCCAGACGCAAATCCAAATGATTTCTTCGTTTCAAGCCTTCCGTCAGAATAATTACATGCCACGCATTTTAAATAAAATCCATTTAGTTCCAGGAAAAGCTTCCTGTCTTCTCTGTGATCAACAAACGTAAAGAAAAGAGTGATCACGACGTTAAAATAAAAAGAGAAAAATCAAAGAATTAAGATGAGTAGCCGTTAATTTTTTTGGTTTATCATTTCAACCCAGGCAAGGCGTTAATGCTACCAGTATGCAGTCCAGGCAAACTTTGCTTGGAGGAAAAAACAGCTATCATTACCTTCCCAGACGAAAATAAATAATTAAATAAAAGATCCGAGCTCATCTCAAAATGCGGACATGAAAACAAATTTTTACTACGTTACTTAAAAATCGAAAACTGAAAAAAAAATTAAAATAAAATAAAACAAAAAAAAAATAAATAAACAAAATGACAATAAAATAAGCAAAATAAATTAACCCAAACAAATTACCAAACAACACCCGTTAGAATAGGCGAAATAGAATAAAAATAAAAAATAAAAAACAAAATCAATGAACCCAAATAAATAAAGTAAGTAATAAACAAATTAACAAAGCATTATGACCAAAATATTAGTTGAACTATAAAACTCAAACCAAAAATCGGACGAAAAAAATAGCTATAACCGTTAACATAACGATAAAAGAAAAATAAATACAACGTTCCTTAAAAATCGAAAACAGAAAAGAGTAAATAAAAATATACAGTATAATAAATAAATAATACAAAACAAGTAAAATAAATCAATCTAAATTCATCCAAATAAGTAAATAAACCAATAAACCGATCCCGATAGAGCAACCGTCAGAAAAAACAAATAAAGATAATCAATCCAAATAAATAGATGAAGTAATAAACAAATTAAAAACTGCTCACACCAAAATAATAACTAGAATAAACTACAACAATCAACCTAAAAATTCAATAAATAGCTTTATCTTCCCAAACCAAAACAAAACTATTAAATAAGCGATATAAACAAATTTTTACAACGTTAATAAAAACACCGACTAATAAAAATAAAAATAAATAAATGTATAAGAAATAAAAATAAAAATCAAATTAAAAAAAGCAAAGTAATTTAACCCAAATAAATAAATAAACTACTTCCGGTAAAATAACCACCAAAATAGACTACCCACAATGCACCACTGACCAGTATATATAAATAGCCGAGAAAAATAACAGCAATAGTGGCCAGATATATTTACCAAAATTCCACAAAAATATCTTGAAATACTAAAGAGTAAATTTATTTAATAAAATTGTCACTGGCGTCAACCACGGCCTCCAGACATCTTCGGAATCTCTTGCAACTCTTCCGATTGGTCTCTTTGTTTAAGTTGGAGGATGCTGTCATAATCCTTGCCTTCAGTTCATCTTTGGTTTTACAAGGAGTTTTGTTCAACTGTTCCCCAAACATAATAATCGAGAGAGGTGCAGCCTAGAAAATTAGATGGCCAGATGTAAGGTGTGATGTAATTGCAGAAATTGTCTGACAGCCATGACTGGGTTCTCCTGCTTGTGTGGCATTGGTGCAGAGTCTTGTTACCAGACATAGGGTCTTCCAGAAGCCACCCTCTTGATTTAGGGCAGCACTATCTCCTCGAGGCACATGATGTAGACCTCCGTGTTGATTCTGAGGCCCGGTGGGAAGTTGAATGATGTCGCCATCACCAGTCGTTCGAGCGAGTCAGTCGTTCACTTCTGAACCGACTGTTCGGTTGAACTCTCTTCCTACCGACGGGAGGAACCCGAAGGAGGCTGCGCCGAAGGGCGGAGTCTCCTTCGGGGAGGTAAAACCGGCCCTGAACCCGTTTATATGGGTTCAATGGGCATATTTTTGGCCGAGCCCACGGGCTCGGAATGCCCACGTTAAAAAGGCCTTGTGCCACATGTCACCCTCTTGGGGGGGTGACTGAATATCATCACCAGCGATCAGTCCAAAAACCTTCGTAATCACTATTAGACTCATCCAACTCTTTCGGAATCATCTGCTCTCTCCTCAGAATACCACCCGAACACTCTGAAATGTTTGCATTGGAGCTTCCGGCGCGAATGCCAAGGAGTACAGCATGCCTTTTCCAAATTTCTGGCGGAGTGGCTTCCATCATAGTACACCTTTTCTCACAGACAGTACCCAACTTACCCTACTATTCTATGCAGTCGACAAAATCAAAAACAAACACCGTCATGCTCGAAATTAAAAATATGAAATGGTGATAATTTACTCATAGAATTATTATATATATATATATATATATATATATATATATATATATATATATATTTTTATATATATATATATATATATGTCTGTGTTTATGTGTGTGTGTGTGTGTCAGTTAAAATAGTGCATATTTTGGCAGCATGTTTTCATTAAGTCTCATTGAATAATTTAGACAAGTTTTGTCTACTTATTTTCAATAGGATCCTCTCATATTTGTAATAACTCCTCCCCACCAACTAACGTGTTGCAGAAATGCAACATTGTATATGAATTTAAATGCCCATTTGAAGATTGTATCTCCAAACAGAAAAAAATAATATATCAGTTGGTCATACTAATACGACGTTGTCTCGACGGTTGACTTTTCATTTGAATGACGCATCAAACATGCCATAACATTTACAACAGCATACCTGTTCACATTCAAAATTTAGGAAAATTCTTGTTGAAAATACATCTATACTTTTTCATGAAAATAATAAACATAAACTAAAAATCCCTGAAGCTATCTATATTTAAAAACTGAACCAATCTTTAATAAAATTAATTACGAAAATTGCGCAAATGTTTAAAAATGTTCACAGTAGATAGTTTAAAACATCTAGGTTTTAACTAAGCGATTTAAATAGTTCTTTTTAAACACATTAGACATACCACAACTTAGTTACTTCCCCTGACATTTATATCGTGGAATTTAAATCGTACAGTACATAAGCTTAGCGTTTTTCACTTCACAGGTAAAAAATGTATTTTCACATGAACACAACAATTTTATCTTACAAAATGGTGAGCATAACAATTTTTGTTTTAGAAAAAGAACACAATGCCGATGACATTGTGCTAATGTCGAAAATACTCGGAATAAATGAATATGTATCAGAATGGTAATTTTCTCTCTTCCTTTAATAAAGAAGTTTGTCCGTGAATGTAAGATGATCCTATTGAAAATAAGTAAACAAAAGTTGTCTAAATTATTCAATGAGACATATATATACATACAGACACACACAACATATATATATATATATATATATATATATATATATATATATATATTCGAAAATTATAACATAAATATGTTATAAAATCACTACAAAAATAACCATTTTGTTTCAACACTTCTGGTGTCTTATCACGTGATGGTATAACAGTGGACAAAGAGATCAGCACCAAGTGGCGGCAGTCCGTTTCATGCTTGAACGCAATTATTATTTCTTCGGTTCTTTCCAAAGTCTTCTCATTCCCTTTCACTCTTTCAAGTAACCACTTGTGTCTTGGTGGCATTATCGCCTTTCTTGGAGTGAAAAGATTAAAAATTAAAACAATATGTCTTTTTCATCAACCTCATTCGCCTAATACAGCCATCTTCTATCGCTCTTACATATGTCAGACACAAGATCACAATGATGGCGGGACCCGTCTTCAGTCTAGTGTGCGGCCAGCCACACTGTAGTTAGTCCACAACAACAGACATCTTTACCGATATAAACCTAGGTAAGGTTGCCTGATATGAGCGGCGAGAAACGTCTGATCCATACAAATCGAGATCGATCGTTGTGTATTTTGAATGAGTCAGCCAGAAACATTCTCACATCAAACGATGACGTCAAAGTGTATTTGTGGTGGTCCCAAAGGTGAGAATTCCTACGATTGAGTTTGGACTTGTGGAGGGACCCAACAGTTTCTCATCATGAAGAATAATTTCCTTTTCTATTTTATACGCTAAGTTGGTTATTTCTGACAGAAGATTTAACTGGAAATGCTTCCGACAATCATCTATTGATGTCATGGGACCATTTGTTTTTTTTAACATCTACCCAATGTCTGTCTGTTTATCAGTTTTCCTTTCTTTCTTTCTTTCTTTTTCTTTTTTTCTTTCTTTCTTATCTTGTGTATTTTTTTTATCATTTGACTCCAAGTAAGGCGATAATGTCACTAACACTCAATGGGATCTTTTGTTTTGCGCATCTATCCGTCTGTCTGTCTGTTTTTCTTTCTTTCTTTCTTTCTTTCTTTCTTTATTTATTTATTTATTTATTTATTACCTACTTACTTTCTTTCTTTCTTTCTTATGTTATCTTATGTATTTTTTATCATTCCCCCCCCCCAAGTAAGGTGATAATGTCACTGACACTCATGGTATCTTTTGTGTTGTGCATCTACTCAATGTCTGTCTGTTTGTTTTTCTTTCTTTCTTTCTTTCTTTCTTTCTTTCTTTCTTTCTTATCTTGTGTATTTTTTATCATTTCACCCCAAGCAAGGCGATAATGTCTCTAACACGCATAGGATCTTTTGTTTAGTGCATCTACCCGATGTCTGTTTGATTGTCTTTTTTCTTTCCTTTCTTCTTTCTTTCTTTCTTTCTTTCTTTCTTTCTTTTTCTTTCTTTCTTTCTTTTTATTCTTTCTTATCTTGTGTATTTTTTTTATCATTTGACCCCAAGTAAGGCGATAATGTCACTAACACTCAATGGGATCTTTTGTGCTGTGCATCTACCAAATTGTTTGTCTGTCTGTCTGTTTTCCTTTCTTACTTTTTTCTTTCGTTCTTTATTTTTTCTTATCTTGTGTATTTTTTTAATCATTTCTTCCCAGTCGAGGCGATAACGTCACGTTTCTTTCCTTCTTTCTTTCTTTCTTTCTTTCTTTCTTTCTTTCTTTCTTTCTCAAGCTGCTCATACATTGTTTCTATCTATCTATCTATCTATCTATCTGTCTGTCTGTCTGCAGGTCTGTCCACTCTAGGTTTCATACCTATCTATCTGAATAATTTTGATTGTCTCTATCTACCTCTCTCTATCTGCCTCTCTCTGTTGGTCCATATAACTGGCAATTTATTTTATTCTGTTCATATGTATCTATCTATCTATGTATCTTTCTTTCTTTCTTTCTTTCTTTCTTTTCCCTTCCTTCGTCTTCTTTATTTGTTTTTTCCCTTTTGCGACCTTTCGTCTTCCCTTCTTCCTTTTCTTTCTTTCTTTCTTTCTTTCTTTCTTTCTTTCTTTCTTTTCCCTCCCTTCGTCTTCTTTATTTGTTTTTTTCCTTTTGCGACCTTTCGTCTTCCCTTCTTAGCATTTTATATACTTCCGTTTCTTTCTTTCTTTCTTTCTTTCTTTCTTTCTTTCTTTCTTTCTCATGCTGCTCATACATTGTTTCTATCTATCTATCTATCTATCTATCTATCTATCTATCTATCTGTCTGTCTGCAGATCTGTCCACTCTAGGTTTCATACCTAGTCCAACTGAATAATTTTGATTGTCACTCTATCTACCTCTCTCTATCTGCCTCTCTGTCTGTTGGTCTATATGACTGGCAATTTATTTTATTCTGTTCATATCTATCTATCTATCTATCTATCTATCTATCTATCTATCTCATTCTGTTCATATCTATCTATCTATCTATCTAGTGAAGAGTAGGCTCACCTATCACCCGGTTCACAAACCTCCTTGGTCTTTTGAACAGAAGTAGACGTTTATACCTTGTTTCCTGTTTAGGATTGGGTTTCCGCCTCCTTCTAAAGGCTACTTCAGCAGTATACTTCTAAAATCTCCGCCTAATCCCTGAAATTTTATTTATTATTTATTTATTCGATTTTTTTTTCTTTAATAGAATCAGATAGGCTTGCCTAACGTCCTGTTCATCCTCCTCCCCGGTTTTTAGGCAGGACTAGATGTTCATCCTTTGTTTCTTGCTTACGATTGAATGCCCGGCTTTGTGTAAAGTCCTTTTTCTTTACTTCCCCATCCAGTGGCACCTTGCGTCTTAGTGACATCCTCGCCTTGCTTGAGGTGAATTGATTAAAAATACATACGGTAATTTATTGTCAGAATTGATCGATTGCGTTTCGCAAAAGAAATATTTATTTCAATAGATCGATATTTCAAAAGAGTGATATCGATAGACCGACATGAAACGATTGATATCAATAGATCGACGGGAGAAGATTGATATCGATAAACCGGCTTGAAAAATTACCAAATTCTGATATCAGTAGATCGTCATGAAAAGATTGATATACGTAGAACGACCCGAAAGGACCGATATCAATCGTGAGACATGAAACGGTACATACCGATAGACCGACATGTAAGGATTGATATCCATAGATCGATCTGAGAAGGTAGATATCAATAGTGAGACATGAAAAGATTCATATCCACAGATCGATATGGCAATACTGAAATCAATCGATCGATATGAAAATACGGATTTCTATAGAACGGCATTAAAAGACTGATATCAATAAATAGACCTGAAAAAAATTGATATCAATAGACGGGCACGAAAAGATTGATATCAATAGACCTACATGAAAAGATTGCTATCAATAGCCGGACACGAAAAGATTGATATCAATAGATCTACGTGAAAAGATTGATATCAATAGCCGGACACGAAAAGATTGATATCAATAGATCTACATGAACAGATTGATATCAATAGAAGGACACGAAAAGATTGATATCAAAAGACGGACACGAAGAGATTGATATCTATAGGTCTACATGAAAAGATTGATATCAATAGACGACGCGAAAAGATTGATATCAACAGATCTACATGAAAAGATTGATATCAATAGACAAACACGAAAAGATTGATATTAATAGATCTACATGAAAAGATTGATATCAATAGACGGACACATAAGGATTGATACCAATAAATCTACATGAAAAAATTTATATCAATAGACGGAAATGAGGAATAGTGTGAGAGACATGGTTGAGTTTAGAGAGGGAAGGTAGAGTTTTAAAATATAATTTTATATTTCTTTTTAATATAATACTTAATATGAGGAAGGAGGGGGGTAAAGATCAGACATTGACCTATTTAATCGGTCAACTCAACGGAAATTATAAGGGGAAAGGAAAAGGAGAAAAAGGGAATATATATATATATATATATATATATATATATATATATATATATGTATGTATGTATATATATATATATAGTAAAGGTAATAAATCCGGTGGTATATAATCCAAGTGGATTCGTCTGACTGAAACATTGAAATGGATAAATTCTGTATTAATTTTTCGACAGCTGCCACAGTTAAATTTCTAATCTCGACAATGGTTTACTATATATATATATATGTGTGTGTGTGTGTGTGTGTGGCAGTCGGTTCCTAGGAACTGAGGTTCATTACCCTCATAGGTCGTAAAAGCGTCCCCGATAGGCGTTGGTCAACAGCCCGCGTCAATCAACGACGTGAGAGTCCACGATACATATATATATATATATATATATATATATATATATATATATATATATATATCGATTTAAAGAAAATGAATTTCTTTTGTATGACCATTTTTTTTTTTTTTTTTGCAGGACCTAGGTACCTTTCGGCCAACGCTTCATCAGGGTCTTTCGTTGGCAAATGATTTTAAACAAACAATGAAAATGAGAAGAACGCCAAAATGGTATGGTTGGAACACGTCTAAAATCTTACGAAGATATATATACGTAAAATTAAAATAAATTTACGATTAAAATAAATGCGTAAATAATGAATTAATAATAATGAACCAACCTGAGCAGTAAGATAGGAAAATAAGTTGCTCATATATCAAAAAATAAATTTAGCGATCGTGAAAAATTCTCCTTTTGTTTAGAAAGCGATGGTTTAAATAATTTAAGGCAGATGGCTTCCAAAATAGACAGATGATATTTGGACCTGCCTACGCATATAATTCATTTTCTTTAAATCGTTATATTTGTTTTGTGGTATCAAAACATTATTCCAATATATATATATATATATATATATATATATATATATATATATATATATTAATAACACAATATTTTTTATAAATATTGTAAAATTTTAAAATTAAATGACAATACTGTTGCATACATGTTGTCACATCTTCTTAAGGAAGTTAATGACTATTGGGGCTTCTTCCATGTGAATAAGGGTTCAACTTTTGAATAATAAGTAAGTTCTATGCTAACGCTTTCTTCTACCGCACTTTGCAATACCAGCGGTAACCATCTTGATAGACATTGAACCCAAATGACCGGTCGCACCGGTTGCAATGTAGGCTGTTTCGAATGAGCACTCGTTACCCGCTAAGCAATGCAGCACGGTTGTGGGCTCCCTAAGATGATTCCGTGCATTTTACAGATCAAATGGCTAGAGGTAACCGTAAGTTCTATGCTAACGCTTTCTTCTACCGCACTTCTCGCTTGTGGAAACTCTCTTCCGGTTTGTTGCTTCCCAGTCTACTTTGGTCTACGAAAATTTAAATGCAATGTCAATCGTTATCTTCTGTCTTCTTAAACCGTGTTCTTTTATTGTTCTCGTTCCTAAATAATGTTTTTTTTTCTTTTTCTTATGTTCTTTCACGCTCGGTAAAGAACCCCCCACCCCCTATTAAGGGCTTTATTTCTTTCTTTGGGGTGAAATGAAACAGGGTGAAAGACGTCAATTTCGAAAACAATATTTGGATTTTTGTACATAGATTTTTTTTTAAGGATCTTGGCATTTTGTTCTACGACTTTTCGTCATCTTTGAAGCGGCATTCCGATTGCATTTTCGCAGAACTTAGCATCTTCCTCCATGATGAACTGGTCTATGTGTTTTTTTTTTAATTTTTTTTTTTTAAGGCTACCAGAAAACTGAAGTTCGGTAATCATTCACTTAAGCGGCGTAAAATAAACTGCCAATCCCTGAATTACATAAAATCAGTAAGACCAAGACACATACGTTTTATTATTATTTAAATACTGTTACAACGACTGATGGTGGACTGCGCAACAAATAAGTGCTGAAAAAATGGACCTTTTCTTGTACTACCGACGCGACAAGAATTCGTGAATATGCAACGTTGCTAAGGAAACGTTGCCAAACGTCCATGACTGTCGAACTCTCTGCCCCGGCAGAGAGAATCCTGGACTAGGCTTTGCCGAAGGTCAAAGTTTCGTCCGGGGAGGTAGACAGGCCCTGAACCTGTTTATACGGGTTCGAAGGGAATATTTTTGCCGGGCCTACGGGCTCGGAGAACCCACGATAAACCGGCCTTGTGTCACATACTACCCACGTGGGTGGGACGTTAAATATAACGTTATTCAGGTGTTCTTCATGCTGGATACCGTTCTATGCCATATTGCGACTCCAGCAATAGACATACCAGATCAGTTGCTTTAGTGGTAACCTGCTGTTAGCAATGAATGTTTACTTGATTTGCAATACCAGCGGTAACCATCTTGATAGGCATTTAACCTAAATGACCGGTCGCTCCGGTTGCAATGTAGGCTGTTTCGAATGAGCCATCGTTACCCGCTAAGCAATGCAGCACGGTTGTGGGCTCCCTAAGATGATTTCCGCGCTCCGATAAGCGCCAGTCTCCTTACAACATATCTTCTAGCGATAATAAGTCATTCCGATCGACGATTGACAAAGTCGGGCGCTCGGCCTACCACATGATATGATTGAAACAAAACGGGACAGTTTATTTTACGGCGTCAATGTGATGCACAGAACTTTGACATTATTTCGCGTCGCTTATGCGAATGATTACCTGAAGTGTTTCCCATTAAGAGAATGTCCTAAGTGTCAAAAGTGGTGACCCATGGATGCAAAGCCAGGTGATTACAGCGAGTGTTGGGGGACATCTCCGGCAAACTGTACCAATTTGTGCCGTGTTGGCAAAGTGACGTGAGGCCTGGATTCTTCTCGATAGAAGATGACTGCTTTTCGATTGGCCAATTCCGGACGATTTTTGCATAGGTAACAGTATTTGTCTTTAATCGGTCCAATTTGGGAATAGTACATGTCTTTAATCGGCGCAATTTAGAGATAGTACTTGTCTTTAATCAGCCCAATGTGGGGATAGTACTTGTCTTTAATCGGCCCAATTTAGAGATAGCACTTGTCTTTAATCGGCCCAATTTGGGGATAGTACTTGTCTTTAATCGGCCCAATTTGTGAATAGTACTTGTCTTTAATCGGTCCAATTTGGGGATAGTACTTGTCTTTAATCGGCCCAATTTAGAGATAGTACTTGTCTTTAATCGGACCAATTTGGGGATAGTACTTGTCTTTAATCGGCCCAATTTAGAGATAGCACTTGTCTTTAATCGGCCCAATTTGGGGATAGTACTTGTATTTAATCGACCTAATTAGGGGGACAGTACTTGTCTTTAATCGGTTCAAATTGTGGAGAGCATTTGCCTTTAATCGGTCCAATTTGAGGGATAATAATTGTCTGAATTCAGCGTCTGATTCTGAAGAATCAGTTCGTAATACACGATACCTTTTTAATAACACTATGTACGCAGCGTCAGATCGACTGTGCTTTTCCCCCCAAGACATTTTCCGCGCAACATTGTTGTAAACAATCTATTTTCATCACCTGTAATCGTTCTTTTCATTAAGGTGACGCTTTATTT